ACCAATTATACTTTCCAAAGTAGATGATTTCCCACCAATCACATTTCAGGACACAATCATTCTGCCAAATTCTAAAATAGATATGGTAGGCCTCACCATTTCCTCTAATATGCCATGGAGGCCACACATACTCAGCATTTCTAAAGCTGCCTCCCAAAAGCTTGGAATGCTGTACAGATGCCGTAGCTTCTTCACTCCTCAACAGTTGCTTCAAGTTTATAAGGGTTTCATTTGTCCGAACTTGGAGTACTGCTCTCATATCTGAGGTGGCTCTCCTTCTGTCCAACTGTTAGATAGGGTGGAATCAAAGGCATTTCGTCTTATTAACTCTTCTCTTTTAGTTGATAATCTTTCCTCTCTTTCTCTTCGCCGCAATGTTTCTTCACTCTCTCCCTTTTACAGGTACTTTAATGGGCAATGTGGGGTCGTAACATATGTCTTGTCCGCAGTGCCCATCGTATCTGTGTGGATGTCAGTCACGCTAAAATAACCCGTTTTAGTACATCCTTCTTTCCTCACACAGCCAAACTGTGAAATGCTCTGCCTTCTTCTGTGTTTCCATACTCATGCAATGTCTCACTTTAAAAAGCTAGTTTTCCGGCATCTTCGTGGTGTAGATTAATGCAGGTGCTCCTCTACTTACGAACTACAGTAGTTACGTTCCTGAAGCTTGTTTGTAAGTCCAAGTTTACTCCTGTAGATACCAAACATATTGTAAAAAATGAAAAGATTATGGATATTTAGTACAGCTGTACCCTTTAATACAGCCTTAAAACCTGGCTCACTCTTCTCCTCTTAGGTAATGTTTGTTCTATCTGGAATAATAATCCAGTCTCATCCACATTAAACACCTGTTCTGGCAGGTAACCCCCCTCAGTGATCTTGTTTGTATCTCTTATTTTTTCACCCCCCCAGGCCCTGTTGTGGGTCGATGACCTGTGCCCGGATGAGCTATTCCCTATAAAAAAAACCACTATGCAAAAACTAAGATGTTAAAAGATCATAATCACATTGAAATATTACACGCCCCCTGAAAGTTGGGGGATGAGTGTAACAGACTGGGGAACTTGGCCGCTCGAGCTGTCAGCAGAGGCGGGAAATAGGAAGTTGTTCGCAGTCATATTTCTTGCCTCTGCTGACGGCAGTGTAATATTTCAATGTGATTCTGATCTTTTAAATTGATGGTTTTTGCATAATGTAGTATTACATAATGGGTAAAAATAAGTACAGGTACAGTATATGTTAAATGTGTCCTCCGAAAGCATCAATTTGATTCCAGAGTTTAACAGTTAATTCATGTTTAAGATTTCTGATGAACTTCTTACGTGCTTATGTTTGAAATAATGAATGTATATATCTTTATATTATTTAGCTAAATATCTTTCTCATCAGAAACGGTCATCCCAACAATTATGAATAAACTCGTTTAGAAATATGTTAGTTCTTCAGGACAAATTCGGACAGATTTGCAACAGCCAATCAGCTGTAACTCTTGAGGAGGGGGCGTGGCATCTCTTCTCAGCTGGGAAAAAACGCACGATAGTGAATCAATGGTTATCGAAGAAATTAATCCAAAAACAATAGAGTATAATAAATTCAGAAGGTTAGGGACCCTCCAAATCCTCCCATCTACCCTTGATATGTCTCTGTCGTGCACACTGTCAAGCAAAAAAAAATAAAGCAGACATATAAAGTAAGCATAATAAACATTAAATAAGCAATGTCAAGCATAAATTGAGACTTATTTACCTGTGTTGAGGATGGTAGAGACGTTTTAGGGTGGCAAGTTCAAATCTCCCAATCTTTGCTGGTCTATCACCACTCTTATTATGCCTTATCACATCACATCACATCAAGCTGCAGAACAAGAAGAACTATCACTGGGGCATTTAGGCATGATTGCGTAACATTCATAAGTCGGAAATAACGAAAAAAATGAAGTTAGAGACACATGGTAAGTGTAAACAAGGACAGAGAGGCGGGGCTGAGTCGGTGCAGTGTGCAGAGTGTCTCTCATAACAAGAATTTGCACCAAGCCACCATCTGTCAACAGGGTATCAACAAAACTTGGGTATTTCCCCAATATGTAAATCATCTGTTAAGTGAAGCAGCAGTTAATGGGATGTCGGTTTTCAGGGCAGACCTCTAGTACAGTGGCTGCAGTACCCAGTCACACCTGGAGCATATCTGGGCACGTTTAATGAAGGTGTAAAGACAGCCTTGGCTTGCTGTCACTAGCTCACTTAACCAACCAAACATTTATTTCCATTGCCTCAGCCTGAATCATTAGACCACCCAAGGCAGCCTTTGTTATTCAAATCATCAAAGCATCTTCCATTTCATGGTACTGTGGCCACCTTAAATACTGGATGGTCCTGGAAATGAATGTCTGCACATCTGCTACACAGATGTTGGAAACAATACATAGTTAAGACACTGTACTGAGTATGAACATGCAAGAGAAAGGAGATGCAAGTAACCATAAAGAATCATTTTAGTTAGCAAGTGAAAAATATGAAGACATTAAATATTATGGAAATCTTTTATATTTTTTATACAGTAAGTCCTCGCTTAACGTCGTCCCACTTAACATTGTTTCGGTACTACGTCGCTGAACTTTAGTGACCAAAAATTCATTTAACGTCCCGGTGATCCGATACTACATCGTTTTGCGTCGTTACGGGCTACTTTATACAGCACATCACCCACTCTTGTCTGGCCGCGCTACGCTCTCTTGGTTCGGTGCGCTGCCCTCACTCGCGGAATGTCACAGTGACGCCAAGCCATTCTCTGTTACGACTTCCCATCATTCGTGTGTGCTTAAGTGTTTTTGCTCTAAAACTGCACTCTAACCATTCGAAATGGCTTCCAAGTGCCCATCAAGTGCTACTGATGGTAGTGTAGTGAAGAGGCAACGTAAGACCATTACCCTTCCTACGAAAATGGATGTATTAACCAGATTTGAAAAAGGGGAACGTGCTGTGGACATAGCCGCTGTGCTTGGTCTAACCCCCACAATGGTGCGTATTATCCGGACCAATGCTGACAAGATTAAGGTTAGTGCTAGAAGTGGTTCTTCTCCGAGTGCTACTAAGACGACTGGTACTAGAAGCACTGTGATATAGAGAAAGTGGAAAAGATGCTGGCAATGTGGATGGAGGACCAGAATCAATGCAATGCCCCTGTGAGCCTTATGGTTATCCAACATAGGGTCAGATCCTTGTTTGATGGCATAAAGGCAGAAGAGGGTGAAGGATCGAAGGAAGAGACCTTTACGACCTTTAAGATGACTGGTGAAGCTGCCAGTTCAGATACGGTTGCTGCCAAGACATTCCCGCCAGAATTCAAACGGATTATACAGCAAGGAGGCTACTTGCCGAAGCAAGTCTTCAATGTGGATGAGACTAGTCTCTTATGGAAGAGGATGCCTGAGAGGACCTATATCTCCAAGGAGGAGAAAAGAGCACCAGGTTTTAAAGCAGCAAAAGATTGCTTGACGCTGCTGCTTGGTGTGAACGCTGCCAGTGACTTCAAGCTGAAGCCTATGCTGATTTCTCGCGCTGCCAACCCACAGGCCCTGAAAGGGTACACTAAGGATCACCTTCCTCTCATTTACAAGGCAAACAACAAGGCATGGATAACCAGTGGTTAAATGTGTATGCCGTCCCTGCAATGAAGGAATACTGTGCCAAGGAGAACCTTAACTTCAAAATTCTTCTGATTGTTGACAATGCTCCAACTCATCCTCCCAATCTCGACAACTTGCATGACAGTGTAAAAGTTGTATTCCTGCCTCCCAACAGGACAGCACTGATGCAGCCTAAGGACCAAGGCGTCATCGCCGAATTCAAGGCGTATTATTTATACCGTACCATGGCCCAGCTGCTCAATGCTACAGACGGAGAAAATAAACCAACGATCCGAGAACATTGGCGCAGCTTCAACATTCTTCATGCAATTAACAGTATTGACAAGGCATGGGAAGAGGTTTCAGAAAGTTGCCTGAATGGTGTGTGGAGTAAACTGTGGCCTGAGTGTGTCAACAGTTTTACAGGATTCAGAAACTTAGTCCCAGCTGTGAATAGGGATATCCTCAACTTGGTTAGACAGGCAGGCTTTGATGAGCTGGAATCTGAGGATGTCCTGGCATCCCATACAGACGAGCTCACCGATGAAGATCTGCAATAACTAACAGAACACAGTCCCGTTGAAGAAGACGACGACGACGACGAAGAACCTCAACAAACGCTAACTTCAAAGAGGTTGGCAGAATCGTTGAACATGATCCAGCAAGGAATGCAAATGCTTCTAGATGACGACCCAAACAGATAACATAGCTCAAAGGTTCAACGCAGCATTAATGACAGTCTTGTTGTTACACTGAGATCTATAAGGAGAAAAGGAAGAGTAGCACCAAGCAGTCGACACTGGATTCATTTTTTCGTCGCGGGACGGCAGGAGCTTCTTCACAACAGCCGGTAGCCAAGGAGGAGCAAACAACAACAGAGGAGGAGCAACCAGCGGCAGAGGAACCCCAGTCAGAGCAGGAGGAGGAGGAGGCAGCCGCGCAGAGTCTCGGTCACTCTCCACCCTCCCTCCCTTGCCCTCCTCCCCTCCCTCCATCCTCCTCCCTCCATCCTCCTCCTTCGCTCCACTACCCACCACACACTCGCTCTACCGCCTCCGCCCATCGGTGAGTACCAATACAAACTTAGTACTGTAGTTCTATATACAGTACTATTCTCTCTAGAAATGGCAATAATTTTCTGTATATGTAACTTATTACCATGGGGCGAAGGGAGGTTCAGGAACGAAACTCCCATATTTTATTTATTTCTTATGGGGAAATTGATCCGCTTAACGTTGTTTAGCTTCACGTTGTGTTTTCAGGAACGTAACCCCGACGTTAATCGAGGATGCCCTGTACTTCCAAAGATAGCTAAGTGCCATAAACATTATGTTTGTGGATACCATGTTTAATAAAAGAATTTATTTCATAGGTGGATGTACGAAACCTTCGATACTTTTACATTGAAGATGATGGTGGGTCTCCTCTGATAACACCAGTTCATTCAGAGCTCCGAGCTACACAGAGGAGAATTGTTGTACACCTTGAGAAGGCATATGGTATTAAAGCTAAAAAGGTACAGTACAAGTATTTTTTATATATCATTCATCTGTAAATTAGACATTTAATATGTTTGTTTTCATGAACTTAAAAGTTTATTTCGTGCTACAACTTAAAAAAAAAAAAGGAATTTCAAAAGGGCTAACATATAAGGACAAGAATAAAGATGTATAATAATTATTTTCAGATCTCACTGAAGAAATTGAAGTCAGCTTTACCTATTTATTTTGCCAAACTTGGGAGTGTAGAAGAAGCCCATACATTTTGTCAAGAGTTGGCACTGAAGAAGGTTGGTCTAACTTTACCCTTTTAATAGATTTGTGCTTTACATCAGTGCAGTAAACCCTTGATCTGTGTGATGGTTAAGGCGGTGGCACACTAACACTTCTTCCCTCATTTAATTGCATCAATTTTAAAAAATTTCTAATTTTCTAACCGTGACCTGTCACACACGCATAGAGAACCAGTGCTCCTGTCTTTCTGAGTTTGTCAATTTTAAACAAAGAAGATGACATTGTATGCCTTCCTCTTTTTTTTTTTACTGTGCCTATCGTCCCTTGGATCCCACAGGTAACGATGATCTAATATTGTCTATTCTTTGGACAGGCATGTCCACACAGGAATAAATAGAGAAGCTGTGAAGATGTTGAACACATCACTCAATGTAAACAAATATATTAGATGTACAGTGAACCCTCACAGACCCAGGTGGTCCCACCTTTCCCTAAAAGCCAATTGTCGGTATCTTCCTGTAAATGTACTACATGTATAAAAACGATAAATAACTATATAAAAAACAAAAATACCTTATTTTATGGCATATTTTAGTCGGGAATATTGAAGAAAATACTTTTATGTGTGAATTTCGTCCTATTAACTCTCCTCCTTTAGTTGATAATCTTTCTTCCCTTTCTCTTCGCTGCAATGTTGCTTCACTCTCTCTCCTTTACAGGTACTTTAACGGGTAATGTTCAGTGGATTTGGCATTCTGTGTACCGTCGGCAAGGCCGTGGGCTCGTAACACATGTTTTGCCCGCGGTGCCCACAATTTCTCTGTGGATGTCGGTCACACTAGAATAACCCGTTATAGTACATCCTTCTTTCCTCACACAGCCAAACTGTGGAATGCTCTGCCTTCTTCTGTGTTTCCATACTTATACAATGTCTCACTTTAAAAAGCTGGTTTCCCAGCATCTTCGTGGTGTAGATTATTATAATCTTTTTCTTTTCAATTTTTTTCTTTTTACTCTTATTTTGTTGCCCCCCAGGCCCCGTTGTGGGTCGATGACCTGTGCCCGGGTGGGCTATTCCCCTTAAAAAAAAAAAAAAAAAAAAAATATATATATATATATATATATATATATATATATATATATATATATATATATATATATATATATATATATATATATATATATATATATATATATATATATATATATATATATATATATATATATATATATATATATATATATATATATATATATATATATATATATATATATATATATATATATATATATATACACACACAGTATTACCCCGCTTAACGCGCTTTCACTTAACGCGTTTTCGCATATACGCGGTGCCTTGCCAAAGCTGAACTTTCACTTAACGCGGCATTTTTCATCATATACGCGGTGAGTGTCCGGCTCGAGAGCTATTTTTAGATTCGCACCACCCGCCACCCTGCCTGACTGCCTGTTTTAGCTCATAAAATTCATACAAATTACCCAGCCAGAATATAATTTACATTGCTGGAATTCTTATAATTTGGTGATCATTTTGAATATAAACAACATATATTTTGTATTAAACATACAATTTTTAGATAAAAATTGTTCTCTAGGTAATTATGTTATCTTTTGTCCAAAATATATGACATTTATATTCAAAATATTCCTGGTCTTACAAGGAATCCAGCAATGTCAATTATACTATCCTAACTTTAGTTTGAGGTATTATTTATTAAAATTTAGTGGTTATCCCACACATCTCCTTGGGACGGTTGGTGGGGGTGGGGGGGAGGGAGGGACCGACCGACCGACCATCTGTTACCCAGTGAAGAATTATTTTTTTTTTTATTAACTGAAGATATTTGTTTTAGCTCATAAAATTCATACAAATTACCCGGTCAGAATATAATTTACATTGCTGGAATTCTTATAATTTGGTGATCATTTTGAATATAAACAACATATATTTTGCATTAAACATACAATTTTTAGATAAAAATTGTTCTCTAGGTAATTATGTTATCTTTTGTCCAAAATATATGACATTTATATTCAAAATATTCCTGGTCTTACAAGGAATCCAGCAATGTCAATTATATTATCCTAACTTTAATCTGAGGTATTATTTAATACTAAATGTTAAAAACTCTTGAATGGAGGATTGGTGGGGGGTGGGGGGAGGGTTGGGACTGACCACGCGGTTGGAAGAGGGGGGAAGGCAAGGTGGGGTACTTTGATTGACAGATAGTGTCGAAGAATATTTTTTTTTTTTTATTAACTGAAGATATTTGTTTTAGCTCATAAAATTCATACAAATTATCCGGCCAGAATATAATTTACATTGCTGGAATTCTTACAATTTGCTGATCATTTTGAATATAAACATCATAGATTTTGCATTAGACATACAAATTTTAGATGTAAAGTTTATTCTGAGTAAATATGTTATCTTTTGTGAAAAATATATGACATTTATATTCAAAATATTCCTGGTCCTACAAGGAATCCAGCAATGTCAATTATATTATCCTAACTTTAGTTTGAGGAATTATTTATTACTATACCTGGTTTTCCCCCAAAAATTTCTCAGAGGGAAGAGCCAGTGAGTGTAGTGTGAGAAGAAGGGGAGGGAGTTGAGTCCATTATTTGAATGGACATTAACTTGGCGACTGTATTTCTCTATTTCTCTTAAGTATTAATTGTGTGCATGTACCATCATAAAATTAAGATGTTATTTTTACTACAACATAGTTATTTGTCGTCAAAAAGTGGAGTTTGGGGGTCGGGCTGGGTTCTATTGGAATTAATCCCATATGTTCTGTTATTCACTTAACGCGGTTTTCACTTAACGCTGGACCCTCTGGGTTCAATTGACCGCGTTAAGTGGGGTACCACTGTATATATATAATGTTATGGTTAATATCATAAACACACAGAGGCATGGCTAGGTTTATTACAAAGTGATGAAAAGGGTACGCTTAGTACCGTAGTCCACAATACATGTAGCTATGCTTTTTTATTTGGTCCCCCGTCATACGAGTCCTTTTTCTCTCATATATATATATATATATATATATATATATATATATATATATATATATATATATATATATATATATATATATATATATATATATATATATATATATATATATATATATATATATATACATATATATATATATATATATATATATACATACATACATACATATCAAGATTTATCTTATCCACGTTTTCATTGTGGATCTACATGAAATATATATACAGTATATATACATATATATATATATATATATACATATATATACATATATATACATATATATATATATACATATATATATATATATACATATATATATATATACATATCAATAAACCTTAGTGATGGTCAGTTTAAAACTGATATGTTACATAAATTTATTTGTCAGTGGCCCAAGGTTAAAAATGCTTTGAAAACCTTTGATCTTGATGTATGACAGTTATTTTGTGGGTCCCTTTTTTCTGACCTGACCTGTCTAGTCACGTCACCACCCTTCTCTTAAGCTCCTCTACGGTTGTGTTGGTGTGGGGATTAGTGGATGTCATCATTATGACCTGACCTCATGTTTTTAGGTCACCCTGTATATTTAAGCCTCTCTCTGTCCATGTAATCTAGTTGCCTCTGAAGATGTCTTGAATAAAGACGAAAGCTAAGGTACTCCGTTGTTTCCATTTTCCCGTGTGATTTTATCAAGATATATATATATATATATATATATATATATATATATATATATATATATATATATATATATATATATATATATATATATATATATATATATATATATGAGGAATAAATAAAAACAATACCAATAAATAAGTTACAAAAAAAAATACTGTATTGCCAAAGCAGTAAATAAAAGCCAAATGAAAATTTAACACAATCGTCATTTGCATATACAGTACGCCCTGCTTCTGATAGCAGTGGCGAGAGCAAGGACGCTACCTCCGCTGATTCCCTAGCAATGCTCCCCCCACACACTGCATCATCTTCTCGCTCCCGCACTGAGCCAGCTAACTCGTGTACAAAGAAATGTATATTCCCTTTATGTGTTTGCCTTTAGGACAATTGTTTCTTTTCTTCACATTATGTATGTAGGATGGTGTGTGCATGTAAGTGAGGAAAACTAAATGAAGAAAGTTACCGTACATACATCTGCCCGAAAATATGAGTTGAAAAACAACCATAACACCTAACATCTTGGCCCAGTAGCCTGCCTGGTAGTTGCAGTGATAATTCTAACTTGGCTACAATGCCATGAATAAAATATATAACTATTAAGCACTATTATATCAGTAAACACTAATAATAACAGTAAATCCAGTGAAATATGGCAGGGAGCAAGGAGAGTTATGACAGCAGGTGACGCACTAACGACCAGTCACTCACTCCCCTACTCACTCCCAGTGCCAGGCATATCAAGGAAATAATTCATAGGAGAAATATATATCTTGTAGTCTACCGTATATCTCGGCCTATAAGGCAGCGGGGTGCATAAGACGGCCCCCCAAATTTCCATTTAAAAAGTAGCTTTTGAGCTCTTTTCGCTGTATAAGACTGGTACCCCAAATGTGACACTTACCCACTGACCCAGTAGTCCTTTACCAACCGTCCTTGGGTTTTTTAAAATAAGGCCAATTCAATTCAAGTAATGTCATCAAATGTTACCCGCTGGTGTAGTGTAAACACTAGTGACGTCACTGAAGCGTCTGCTATTTACCGGTAACTGGAACTAATGTCGGTGTCGAGTAAAATGTTTCCATTTACTTGAAATGGATTTACCGATTTATTTGTTTATTTATATATTTATAATATACAGTATTACCCCGCTTTACGCGGTTTCACTTTACGCGATTTCTCATATACGCGGTGGCTCGCCAGAACCGAACTTTCACTTTACGCGGTTCATCTACCCATATACGCGTGAAGTATAATTTTTTTTTTTTTTATTTAGCTCATAAAATTCATACAAATTACCCGGCCAGAATATAATTTACATTG